GCAGTCCCAAGCAGTGGGGTAGCCTGTGCCTCTGGAGGCCAGGGCCACGCTATCCTGCGTGCCCGGCCTGCCCACCACCGACTCTGGGTGACACTGCCCTTTGGGGCACTGCTGAGCTCATGCAGGGCTGAGAATGGAATGAGGGTGACTACAGAGGAGTTGCTTGCCTCCTCACAGTGGATGGAGTATACAGAACCTAGCACGATGCCCCTTAGTGCTACGCGCCATGGGGAGCAGCAAGTCTCTCCGGGACCCAGCGTTTGCAGAGCCCAGAGCAGGCACATGCCCGAAAGAGGGTCCGTCCTGATGCAGAGCCCAAAGAGAAATGCCTCTTCCCCGCCTGCCCGAGCTTCTTATCGCCCTGGGTTTACTGAGTGTTTCCCTGTGGGAGGCAGGACCTTAAAGGTGTCCCCAGACCAGTCTACTCAGACACACTCTAACCTGGCACTGCTTGGGGCAGGAATTCACCAACATGCACAACCTGTAAACTGGATAATAAGTTCCCGGTCCCCTACACCCCCGCAGGGTAGATGTGTGGGAGCAGCATGCCTACTACAAACACTCCTGCTCCCATAAACTCGTCACCACGGTCCGCAATTGCCCAGTGAGCAAAGCGGGGGGACCAGAGAAGTCCGAGGTGGCCCTCACGGCCTGCCTGCGTCCTGCCCTCCCCGCGCCTGGCGGACGCGGCATCACAGGCGCCCGCGCTGGTTGCACTCCATCTCCCAGGTTGGTGGTTCCAGGGATGGCTCTGGGGTTGGGCAACCACAGGCTTTCTCAGGACAGGCGGTGGTTTCATTGGAAGAACAATTTTTTTCCCCAAAACGTAGACTTCTGATCCATCTGTGTGCAGTGGCCTGAGTCCATCGCTCTCTGAGGACTGTGCTGCGAGCAGCGAGCAGCAGTAACGCGTGTCTACCTTACGCAGTTCCTCCCTCATCCTTGCTCAGCGCATGCGCGCCTCTCAGAAGCACAGGAGCCCTTGTTACCAAGGCTTTGTCTGCATGAGAAGGGTCACCGGTCCTCTGACCACGACACGTGGTGCCACGGATTGAGCCCACACCACGCTGCAGTTCTGCTACTTGAGCCTTGTTTCTCTTGTTCCTTTATTTTGTATCAGTTAAGATTAGATTTGGCTCCCTGACTGGTTTGGCTCAGTGGATAGAGCGTCGGCCTGTGGACAGAAGGGTCCCAGGTTCGATTCCGGTCAAGGGCATGTACCTTGGTTGTGGGCACATCCCCAGTAGGGGGTGTGCAGGAGGCAGCTGATCGATGTTTCTCTCTCATCGATGTTTCTGGCTCTCTGTCCCTCTCCCTTCCTCTCTGTGAAAAATCAATAAAATATATTTTTAAAAAAAAGATTAGATTTGGCCACAAGTGACAGAAAATCCGAAATAGCAGTGACTTAAACAAGACATAGTGAATTCTCCTTCATTTTGGGACTAGAGTAAGGTGGTCCAGGAATGGGCGCACGGGCTCCTTGGTGTCAGAGACCTACCCCCTTTCTGTCCTGTTGCACCCACATCCAGAATGGCTGCCACAGTGCCAGCCATTGCATCTTCATTCCAGCCAGCAGACCTCGGAGACGGGGAAGAGACAGACCCATCTCCACCCTTCAAGGACACTTCCTGGAAGTTACCTTCCATTGGCCAGAACTCGGTAACTTGGCCATACCTGCCTGCAGGGGAGGATGGGAAATGTCACTCGAGTTCCTGATGGCTGACAGGGGTTCTGTCTTTGAGGAAGGAGAGGCAGCCGATATTGAGATGATGCGCAGTCCCTGCCACCTCATATCCGTGTCGGGTACCAGTACCAGAGTCCGTGCTGGGAACGGTAGAGAAGTGTCTTTGCTGTTGCCTCAGGAGTCTTTATCCTCCTTCTCCTTACGGCAGATTTGTTTGGCCTCTGACACACACATTTCAGAGGCGACGGTGACTAAACAATGTCTGGGGTCCTCTGCCCACGCGCCTTTGAGGGGACCGTGACTACACCTGCTGTGCAGGGACACACAGGGAGGTTCCCGGTGCGAGTGCCACTTGGGTGTTATCTGTGTTCACAACGTCTGTGTTCAGCAAATCACAAGAGTAAGCAGGGCAGGCACCTCTGATGAGAAGCTCCGTGCAACGAACGAGATTGTTGAAGCGAACGGAAAACCACAATTGATGAAACACCAAATACATACTTAACCTGGGAGACCGCAGCTATCCTTAGACTGCTAAGCAATTGGGAGACTAATGTTCTTAATACAATCAGTTTCCCTGAAGAAACTCTTCGGTTATACTGCATAATAGACCCGGTGTAGTTCACAGGTAAGCCCCACTGGCAGCTTAGGCTTTCACCAGCGGTTTCCCACGGAAACCTTTTAAGCGTGTGGATAGACGTGGGAATGGACTTGTAGGAGACGCAGCCACATCATGAATGCTCAGTACAGGTATCAGCCGGGGAAGGCAATGCTGTGTCACACAGACTGGCATCCACAGGAACGCCTGACGTCTCATACGCCAGGGGAGCTTCAGAAACATGCCCACGGGGCCCCTTTACCCCCAGGACACGACCATCCCTCTGAGGCCTGTGAAATTAGCCAGGGGCTGAACTTGTTTACATATTGGCTCCAAAACACACAAAGGCTGCAACATTGATTAATAAAAATTAATCAATGTCTAATTCAGTGTCCACAAAATGTAACATTTTGTTCTCCTTGTGAATTATTAACTTGGGCATCATTGACTTTTTCCTGAGTATTTTATTACTTTTGAAAACAGTCGGTTGGAGAGAGTGTCCTATGGCAGGAATTCACCAACATGCACAGCAGCCAGGATTCACCACCCACCAGCTGCCCGAGGCCAAAGCGAACTTCCTCCTAACCTACGTATCTGTATGGCGTGGGTCTGTTTGTAACGCAGAGCTGTGGATCCATCTGCACCTGTTGATTCCATGGGAGGTTTCCAAAAAGAATGCCTTCAGCAAGGGCCGGCACTCTTTTTTCTGTGAAGAGCCAGAAAGGAAACAGGTCTGGCTTTGTGGGAACAGAGGGTCTGTGTTGTGACTAACAGCCCTGCTGTGACAGCACCGAGCAGTCATCCGTGGCACATAAATGATACACGAGCATGGCTGGGCACCAATAAAACTTTATTCACAAAACAGATGGGGGAGGGGACGGCAGATCATTCTCTGTTCCTTGCCTCAGATCCAGGAAGGCCTAAGACCGTCTACCGATCCCTGCCGACACTTCACACTCAAAAACTACACTTTTCAGAAAAGCACTTTTATCACGAATAACCCAGAAATGTCTTCAATTCTCCTGGCAGCCCCCAGTGTTCGCACAGCGGCTCTAGGGTCAGATGGGAGATCCAGGGCCCCAGGTGAGGAGTGAGGAAACCGTGTACAAACACCGAGGCTTTGCAGTAAATGTTTCCACCCCTTCCTCATAAGAAAGAGGAGGTTTTAACCCCGAGTCTGCTAAAACGATGTTTAATAGATTTCGCCCGTTCATCCCAGGGTGCCGGAGGGCACTCACAGGTCACGCTCATCGGTCATGTAAGGTTTCCCGATTCCCTGTCGCCTTTTAGGTCTACAATGTGTGCCTGTGAGTGTCCTGATAGCATTTAGCGTTTTGCTGAGCCAGACTCTCATCTATTGCTCAGACCAGGAAACTGACTTTGTAGAGCTCATGTCCTACTGTTAACCCTTTTTAACCTATTTAAAAGAAGCCATCCTCTCCCCAACACTTATCCTAGCCGTAAGTGGACAAGTAAAAAAATCAATTAGACTTGTGATTTTGTTTAAAGGTACAATGTAATTGGAGTAACATGAAATGTCTTCTTTAAGAAAAAGAAGAAATAAAGATAAAACATATGAACAATAAAATGGCAATAAATACATATCTATCAGCAATTGAATCTAAAAGTCAAAAAAAATGAACAAGCAGAACAGAAAGAGACTCATAGATGCAGAGAACATTTTGACAGTTGCCAGATGGGAAGGGGTGGGGGATGGGTGAGAAAGGTGAAGGGGTTTAGAAGTACAAGTGAGAAGTGCTTGTGTCGCCATGGGGGTGTAGGGTACAGCAGGGGGAGTACAGTCAGTGATATTCTAATCCCTAGGTATGGTGTCAGGTGGGTGTGAGTATTGAGGGGACTGGGGTATACACCTGAAACAAATACAGTATTGTATGTCCATTGTAATTGAAAAATAAAAATCGATTTTTAAAAAGATGCAATCTAATTGGAATTTATTCATTAAAGGCTACTAAATGATTTTGCTTACATAATCCATGCAAGTTAAATTATGTCTGTTCATTTTTAAAGTATGCACTGCTTATACAGTTGTAAGCATAATCACTTCTTTCATAATATTTTATTTATGCGTACTAAAAAACTGGAAAGGATTACTATTTATTTTTTTAATCACTAAAAATACTGAGCACTAATCTTCTAGAAAATATTTCCCTATTTACCTGTTTTTTCACTTAAACTGAAACAGAATCATAGTTACAGAAATATGTATAATCACTAAAATGTATTTTCATTTCACCCCCAATATTACCTGTTATTAACAAATTGCTGGTTAACCCATAGATTATATTTCATTTTCGTTCTGAGCTGGGCTGCTAATGGAAGCAAGAAATTACATTCAAGTTTAATTTAAAAGCGTCTCTGGAAAATCTATCTGATGAATCAAATTTTTAAAAAAGCATAACCTGCTATTTTGGTTCAAGATGTGTGGCCTGAGAATATCAAAGCATCTAATCTGAACTCAGAGTTTATCCTGAGTCTAAGACTAGGAGGAAAGAAGAAAGAAAGAGAGGGAAGGAGGAAAGAAGGAAGGAAGGAAGGGAGGGAGGGAGGGAGGGAGGGAGGGAGGGAGGGAGGAAGGAAGGAAGGAAGGAAGGAAGGAAGGAAGGAAGAAAGAAAGAAAGAAAGAAAGAAAGAAAGAAAGAAAGAAAGAAAGAAAGAAAGAAAGAAAGAAAGAAAGAAAGGAGGGGGGGGGAGGGAGGGAGGATTATTTCAATGGACCATAATGTCTTGCACTTTTAAGAGATGCTCTGGGATGCATTTCTTCAGGCTTGGGCCCCAGCCAGTCCAGCAGGTTGGGCAGTGACGGCGTGTGCTCTGAGAAGGCAAGTGAGCTCAGACTTTCTGCCCCTTCCAGCTCCCCCTCCTCCATGTAGATGTGAGGCAGGGAACCGGGGTCTGCGGCCAGCACATGGAGCCCACAGAGCTTCTGGAGAAAAGCCAGGGAAAGAGGAGGTGAAGGCCAGGTTCTTCCCCACAGGGCTCGTTCCTGCAGCTCCATGAGGGACGCTGCAGCAACAGGCTATGAGGATACGGTGGGCCGCCCCTCTGTCCCCAGCCGTAACAGACGGTGCTACGGACTCAGCGGTGGCAGCCAACTGAGGGGAAGGAGCGCCATCACACTTTCCAGCTAAGTCCTGGGAGGACCTATGACGGCCCTCGGCAGTACCCCGCCCTCTAGTAGGTTTATTTTGGGGGTTCATCTCTCCACCACCTGTGCCCCGACACCTGCTGTCCCCTTCCCAAATGACCATGCCCAACTGCCAGCCTCCACTCAGCAAACTCCAGCTCCTACAAGCCCACGCCATCGCTCTGTGAAGACTTTTCTGCGTTTTTCTGGTCTGAGTGACTCCATAAATGTTTGTTGGGTGGATGGACCGACGGCCGAGGTTAAAGGGCTTCCCCCATGTACCTTCAGACACCTCTGGGAGGGGCTGGTGCAAATCTGAGCCAGTTATTGCATCTCAGTGGCAATGGGTCAGCAAGGACCTCTGACCATCACTAGCTAACAGTGGCCTGAGGGGTGAGCTCACCCAGGGCCTGAAGACGCTCAGAATCAAACATCTCAGAGCTGGAGGAGGCAGGCGGTGGGGCAAGACCTGGAAAGAGGAAGCCGAGAAGCCCCGGAGCCCATGGAGCTCTCAGCCGTGCCCTCCCCTCGATAGGCTGCCGGCTGTCCCCACCTTCCGCTGGCTGCAGGAGCCACTCCAAGGCTCCCTGTTTAACTGGAAACACCATGGCCCTGTGGTTACTGGTGCCCACAGGTGAACATGGGAACCTCCCCCTGCATCTGCCCGTTGCCTGGGTCCACTCACTCGGGGACTGAGGCCACTGCGGCATGTACCCGAGGGGGTGGGGCAGGAGAGGCAGCTCTGGCCAGTGGCCAATGGGTGCCCGCACCCGGCCCATCCTTGGTGCAGCGAGTGGATCATTAATGACGAGGCTGGGTCCAGAGCCAGACACGCCGCAGCGGCTGTGCCGGGCAGATCCCAGCTCAGCATCCTGGCTGATGACAGCGCTGGTTTCTGCACCGAGTCAGCAATTTTAGAGTCCCCCTAAGATCAATAATTCATCATAAACCTCCAACGAAGTAGAAAGCTCCCAAGGGGAGAACCAGGCCTCTCCTCTGTTCTGTGCCAGCCTCGTCTGCTGCAGCCTCTCCTTCCCTGGGCGGGCCCCGCTCCTGAGCCACCAGGCCCACCTGGCTCAGCTGTTTGGGGGTGCACAGGCGGGAGGAGGGGCAACCCAGATGCCGTGTGACAATGACGTGCTGTGCTTATGCGGCTACCTCACACCTGTGTGCACAGAATCACCCCTGATGCGGGGGGCTGTCCCCACCCTCCTTTACAGATGGGAGCTGAGGACCAGGGGCTGCCCGACGCTGCGGCAGGATCAGGCAGGCAGGTCGGCAGGGCCCGGGCTCTCTGGGTTCAGGGTTGCTTCTGGACTTGGAGACAGTGGTTTTTTGAACCGCGACTCAGCACTGTCCACTCTGCAGGACTTGGGAGCAGGTGCTTGGAGGGACCAAGTCCACACCGACCTAGGGTTGTCACTGAGGCACAGAGCGCCCCCCCCCACCCCACCCCCAGGCACCAGGACAGGCCCAGGAGGAGGTGACATGGGGGCTCTCTACCCCGCCACCATCTGCATCTCACTCCCTCACGCTGTACCACCTGGCACCTGGCTGCTGCCCACTCTGACAGCCATGGGAAGGGTCGTTGGATTTCACAAAACGGGGTCTCAGGACCTCAGGTCAGACACTCTGCTGAGCACCCAGACCCACAAATGCAGGGTCTGCAGGGTTGGGGCCTGGGAGCAATGCTCTTGAACAAGCTCCCCAAGCGCCCGCACCCGGGAGCCAGGGCCCCTGCATTTGACCCCATTTCTACCACGTTCTGTCTGTGACCTTGGACATGTCACCTAATTTCTCCGTCCCCAGTTTCCACCTTTTATAGGTGAGGAAAAGGATAGCTCCAGCCCAGGCGGGCTAATGCGAAGACTGAATGAGTTAGGTATCTTTCAATCCCTTAGAGATGCGCTTGCCAACTAAGTCAGTCTCGGCAGATGAGCCCACTAACCTTGACATACTCCTCTGCACTTCTGCTACCACGGGGCTGAGCCCCAGCTTTCCTGCAACAACACATGGAGCCCCTGGGAGTCAGAAGTCGCATCTGCTGCGTCTGTGCGCTCCCCGCCATCCCCGAGTGGGGAGCGCACAGAGCTCACCCTCAGTGACACGGCTCTCCTCGGGCTCCTCCCGCTGGAATCACCCATGGCTTTGCCCAACTGCCCAACTGCCTGTGCTGGGGAGCTTCCAGGAGAGAGCTAATGTTATCACCAACAATCCCTAAGCCTCGTCAACCGCGTGGTTCATGATTCCCCAGAAAGAGACCTTTCACTCTTGTCTTGGATCGTGTTCTGCGGAAATAGGCCCTGGAACTCGATCCCATGAAAGTGCTTGCCCTGGACCAAAGCATGCCTCCCAAAGTCCTACGCTGAAGGCCCGCCCACCCTGGGATGGTATTTGGAGGTGGGGCCTTTGGGAGATAATTAGGTTTAGATGAGGTCATGAGGGTGGGGTCCTTGTGATAGGATTAGTGCCCCTTAAGAAGAGACAGGTGTCTCTCTGCCATGTAAGGACACAGCAAGAAAGTGACCGTCTGTGGAGCAGGAAGACTCTTACAGCACCCGCCCCTGCTGGCCCCCGATCTCAGGCCCCAGGCCCAGGACTGTGAGAAGCAGGCCTGTGTAAGCCTCGGTCTGTTGTGGCCGCAGCCCCAGCTGACAGCAACAGCGGTTTAGGGGAAGCACCCCCAGCTGGGCCCGGATGGGGACGCCAACACGGGGAAGCCTCTACCTGATGCAGGATCTCCGCCATCACTCCTGCCCTCCCTTCCAAGGGTTGTCTGGACACCCCGGTACCCAGGTACACCTGCAAAGCAAAGGGGCAGAGCCTTAACCCCTCTGAGGAGCCCTCCTCGAACTCCCCATCAACGGCCTCTGCTGGCCAGAAGATGGGGGCACCGTCCAGGTGGAGGGTGGCCAGAACTCTCCTTGAGGGAGAGTAGGATCGAGGGCAGCCTGGTCACGCATCACCTGCGTGTGGTGGAAGAGAGAGGAGATCCTGCAAGCACATCACTAGAAATCCTTACAATCATATTGCCTTTTCTTTCGGCACAAAATATATGGAAGTTATAAAGATCGTGTAGGCCGTCCTGGCAAAGATCCATGGGCAAGCTTGACAGCTGCTTTACGGGGATGGAGCATGGGAATGTGATTTGCAAGTCCTGTTTTGGGTCCACAAAAGCTTAGTAAGACTCCTTGTGCCATGGGCATTGCCTCAGCATTTGTGAACGAGGCACATCCACCCCTAGGGACAAGATCAGCTACATAATTTGCAGGACCCAGTACAACGTGAGAATGTGGGGCCCATTGTCCCAATATTAACAAGTTCAAGATAATGACAGTAGAGCATTAAGCCAAGAACAGGGTCCTTCTGAGCTCAGGGCCTATGCTATTGACCAGGTTCCATGCCCAGAACACTGGTCCCACCAGGACCAGAGGGACACACCTCTCAATGCACAACCCTTGAAGGGTGGGTTAGTGGCATCATCTCTGTGCAAAACAGAACAGTACATTTCTATCCTAGCTCAAACACAGGCTGAGAAATGATAATGAAATTATAGAGGTCTTGAATTCTTTTTTTAGAAGCTTTCCACCATAAAAACTGTGAACACCTTTTCTAGTTTTTATCAGAAGAAGTATTTTTTTGTTGTTAAAATAATACCTAGATACACTAGTGAAGTTGGAGGTCTGTGTTTGAGACCTGCATTAAGAGTGTGCTGCCCAAGTCAGCAATCTGGGTTTGGTAATGTACTGTGGTTACGTGAGAGGCTTCCCTGTGGGCAGGTTGCACAGGAACTCTCTGGACTGTGTTTATAAGTTCTTGTGAGTCTGAAAATTATTTCAGAAAAATCATTTTACAAAGAAAAGCAATTGTTCTAGAATTTGTACATAGACTACGTAAGGACATGGGGCTAGGGGACCCAGGGCTCATTTTGGCAGGAGGTGTGAAGTCACTGGGCTAGACGTGGGTCAGGCTCAGAGCCATGAGCTCTGACTCTTAGAGATGATCCCTGGCACCCTTGGGTGGACACAAGAAAACATACTCATTTGTGAGTGTCCTAAAAGGTGCCACATTGGATCAGGACTACCAAATAACTCTTAACAACACTCAACGATGACAATAGCTAGTTGGATAGATGAGAAGGTCTTTACTATGTGTTCATTCCACCAGTATCACAGAATCTTCTAGAAAGGCTGCTTATAAGGGAACAGTCAATCATTAGTGAGATGACCACAGCAGGGAGTGAACTTCTGTAACTCACTGGAGTCCCAGGACAAAATGTGCTTGGTCTGATGCATGTGCTGGAGGTGGCAGCACTTCATTTATATCCTAGGGGGGGAACGACGGTTTACCCAAAAGACAATGCAATTCCCTCCAGTTGGAAACAAAGCAGCTGTGTGTGTCCTTCAGCATGCTTCCCTTGCTCACACTCTCATATGCAAACAAAAATGAGCATTATGATAAGGGGGCGGGGGGAAGAACGTAGGAGTGAAAAAGGAAAGGTGGAGAGATGCAAGAAAAAAAAGGCTATAGCAAAATGTCAGTGTGTGACCTAATATGACTTGAAGATGCAGGTTCTAACTTCTAACAATGATGACAGAGGTACCCACGAGTTGAATATGCACGTGGACAAGGTCTAGAAGGTGACAGACAAATGAAGCTGTTTCAGTTTAGGGATGTGAGGCTTTTGCTTGAGGTTTCTATTATTTTCATAAAGGCCCTTCAATAATGAAATAAAATTTCAAAGAAAATAAAGCAGGCAATGGACCCTAGCAATGGTGTTATCTAAGATAGCTTGTGCTTTGCAGCCGATTATAAGGTGCCAGGTTGCCCAATAAATCATAAGGACAATGTAATTTAGGGAAGGTATGTGAATGCTGTTTAGTTAACCTGTCACCACAGGTGCAAATACTATTTGCAGGACGCCATGAAGGGAACCCAGGGACACAGGCCTTTGTTTCCTCCTCTGTAAATGGAGAAACGAGGTGTCCTCCCCAACAGGTTCTGGTAAAAATTCTGCAGATTTGAGCTTGTAGAGTGCACACGAGGGCATGGTCGGCAAATCAGAGCAAGTACTGTGCTACAGGGGCAGCTGCTGGCCTCGGGATGCGTGCGGATGGTTAAAGAGAAAGGAGAGAGAAGACCACCACCAGCCCATATGAGGTCTGCACATGGATGAGGAAGGGCAGCCCTGCTCACCCCTAGCCAAGCACCTGCCCCATCATTTATGGCAGCCCTGCACTCATGTGCTGTTCCATGGGCAGGATCATCTGCCACTTAGAGAGGGAGAGTTAGCCAGGGTTTTAAGTGACATGGAATCTTCTGGTGAGAATATAATTCCCTTTCCAATTCTTTATCCATTCTCCTAGGAACGTCAACAGAAAGTCTCTGTTTGGGGCCATCATGGATTTGATGCCTCCCTTTTCACAGAGAGAGACCCTTTGGCGGGCAGCATTTTCTACCTGGAATTATTGGCTCCTATTCCTATTGCATCTATTTTCCATTCCACACAAAAAAAATGGGTTTTCATTGACAATTGAAACATACCAGTTCCTATCTACAAGAAATGTACTTTATTTGGACACCAGTCCATTTAAAGAAAAATATTTAAGAGTACACTAGTACAAGCAGCAGAAGCACGTGGCAAAAAGTCACGAAGGTGGCACTGGGCAGGTGTGGCGTGGCCTTGCGGTGGGGAGCGACTGCACTCGGGTGGGAGAACAGCCAGGCAGTTCCTGCCACGGAAACCATCTGCGAAGCCACCTTAAACCCAAGCAGCCCAGCAGCCACGCTTACCTTAGCACCCAGCGTGGCGCCTTCCTCCGCTGTGTGGGTGGGCAGGGCTGGCTTCTGATTCCTGACCTCTGAGCCAATCTGTGAGGCACAGGGCTGAAATAATGATGGCAAGCATAAGGCACACAGCAAGGAATAGCATCTCCCCCAACACGAACACAGGCCATCCCAGAAAACATCCAACGGCTGTCCTGCAGGTAAAGTGCAGTCATTTAGGGAAGGGGCTCCTGTAACTGATGGGGGGAAGCGGGGTTTCTGGCTCAGTGTTTCACGTTAAGCAATGCTAGAAACCCTCGTTTCAACAGCGTCTCGTTATCTACAAGGTAGTCCTCTGAGGCTTGCGACGATGGCTCTGGCCGTGCAGCATGCACCATCTCCATCATTCCTCATCCAACAACTACTCGCTGAGGGGCTCAGATGTTGACGGCGGCTGCATTTCTCTCCTGAGAATTCACCCGCTTCCCCTTAGAGATGGGAAGCATCTATGTAATCTTACAGACCTTCCTCATGCGCGTCCAGAGGCCAATGGAGACCCTGACCAGGCGGGAATCGGGCGGGCCTGTGTCGGCGGAAGAACTGTGGGAGGAACTCTATCATAACATTGGCCCGCACCTTTGCTTCCACGTCCTCTTCCTCCTTCTCAGGGCCTCACAGGCAAGGCTCGCCAGGTCCACGCTGTGGGGTCCTAATCCTTTCGTTTTCCTTTTTCCTGATGGAATACATGACCAACTTTTGTTTGTGGTCGACAGAGGGTGGAATCAATGGTAGGCATCTCGGATGAGGCGAGTCCTCCCAGGAGCACAGAAGGCCCCAGGTGAGTGTGCACAGGTGTAGGCAGGTGCATTCAGGTGAGATGATCATGGAGAAGCATGCACTCATGGAGATGTAACCAGTGGTTACAAAGACATAATTAGTAATTGCTGTCAGCAAGTCTAATATTGGCAGTCACTGTTGCTTGCGTGCCTGCCAATACCCTAGTCTGTGCTAAAAACTTCACATGTGTATTTTGGTTAAATTGTCCAATAAATTTAAGTCAGAGAGAACATTATTAATCTCACTTTATATGTGCAAGTCGGTAGTCACTTAGATTATGTATCCACAGTTTTGTGATCTAAACCCAGGTTTGCTGTGTGCCCTGTTCTCAGAGCCCTAAGGGTACCTTGGCAGGAATGGGGCATAAAGCCAACGTTAATCAGAGGACACCTGAGCTGAGAGTTAGAGATGAGAGGGAGGATGCCGTGGGACTAGACGAGGACAGAGAAACCTTGTCCTGCATGCGCTCCTCTCTCCGATAGCTGATACTTGACCAGTGCCCTTGGCCACCAGACTCCCTCTGCCTGCCTGGCCTCAGCGCTGCGATGACAAGCTGCACACGCCCTGCTTCTGTGGCTGCTTCCTCTTTCCAGGAGAGCACCACTGAGCCGCTGGCCAACAGGGAGAGCACCGGGGCACCGCCATTACCCCTTCCCCCTGAACGGTGTCGGCAGCCAGTGCGTGGCGAGGCCACTTCCCCCAACTCCTCCAAGCTCAGCAGCCCCAGCTCCACCCCACCAAGCAGGAGACTAAGCACAGCCCAGTCAGGGAGCCAGTTCCATTGTCCTGGAGGGTTGCGCTTCAGAGCAGAGTGGAACTGCCCGAGGCAGGGTGGTTTGTCTGTTACACAAAGCACTGCGGGTTGTCAAGACAGTTTCCTTCTTCAAATGACACAAACTGGGGAACTGCTGCTTTTACTGCTGGGGGGGGGGGGGGGAGGGGAGACCAGCTACATGGAGAGTTTGGACCATGCTTCCTGCCGTCTCCTCTCTGTACCAGGAAGGGCTCAGTGGGCCTGTGTGCAGGTGCAGGCGTGCACATACATCTGCAGCGTGACCCAAGGCTGTTACTCTCCCTTGCTGCATGCCAGTAGGGAAGAGAACGCGGGGAAGAATCCAAGGAGTCTTGGCGGACCACCAGCTTCTCCAACCCCCAGTCACTTTGCGGAGTGTCTCCCTATTTACTCGCTCATGAAGCCAACAACCATCAGCAGGTCTTTTCCCAAGAGCATGTCATGTTGCAACTGCTCTCCTCCCAGGAGAACACCGTGGGTGAGGTCTAAGGCCACAGAAGGTGGGCCACCTGGGGCCGCTGTGAGCGAGAGGTGTTGCCTTTCGACATTTGGCTTTTATTTTTTAGATCAGCCACCTTAGTTCTTAATGAAGACAGACAGGGGTGTTCACAGTGCTTTCATCTCATGGCCAACTCCAGCCGAGGTGGCTGTGAGGACAGCTGAGATATGGCAGGGCTGGTGTCAGGCGACTGTGGGTGCTTCCAGGGCATAGTCTTCTTTGATCCCCAAGAAATCCGTGGGGTTGATTTTTACCCTGATTCACAGAGGAGGATGTGGGGTTAAGTGATGTGCTCAATATGGCGCAACTAATAAGATGCAAAGCCCAGGTCTTGTCCCTTTAAGGTCAGCAAGCGGTGCTCAGCCTCTGACCTTGAGGAAGGGGGGTGGCTCTGCCTTACTTCAGGCCACAGCCAAGAAGCTGTGGACTCATTTGATTAGTAAGCCCCGCACGTTGTCCATTGAGAAAACCACCCGGTCAAGCCATTTTCTCCTAAACAAGGTTTCTCAGCCTCGGCACTGCAGACACTGGGGCACACACTGTTCTGTTGCGGGGCCATGCTGGGCACTGGAGGGTGTTTAGAGTATCCCTGGGCTCCACCTACTAGGTACCAAAAGCATCCTCTCCCCCCGCCCCCCGCACCCCCCAGCCGAGTGCGACCATCAAAATTATCTCCAGACATTGCCAAATGTCCCCTGGGGGGCAAAACCACCCCCCATCAAGAAACAGTGACCTAAAGCAATAAATCAATTTAGTTAAGTTGGACAACATTGGGGATGTTTCCCTTTTGCTACTCAAATTAGAGTGAAGACAGGAGAGGCGGGCACAGTGAGTGGGGAAAAGGTAGATTTATTATCGACATCATTGTCACCAAACACAAAGTGCTGTTTCCTTACCTGGCCTGCGATGGCTCTGCTCTCGTCATTGTACATGATCAGGGTCTGCAGGCCCTCTTGGTGCAGGGCGGGGCAGCTGTGCCTCTTGGCTCCAGACACACAATCGCATCGCAGCAGGAGAAGCAGAGCAGCTGCGATGAGACAAAGGGAAGTGAGTTAAACAAGCCCGTCTGTATCAGAGGCTTCACCGGGGCCGTCTGTTAACTTGTACCTCAGTCGTGAATGACGGGGTCATGAATGACAGGGTCGGATGTGCCTTAATCGTCTTAGTAACTGCAGAGCTTTGCACAGCCTGGGGCACAGGTGCTAGGTAACTGTTTGTTGACTTGGTTGACTAATGCCATGTAACCGGAAATATGGTGTTTATTTGAAAATCTAGTTTCCTTATTTGCCTTCCCCAAGCCCAGGAGCCCAGAAGCCCAGACAGACATCTGTGTATTGCTGCCCCGTTTACAAACCTCGGGTCACCCTGTGTCTCCTCTGCTGTAGATTGCTGCTCACTGAATAGAAGCTGCTTTTGCCAGACAGACAGCATGTCTGACCAGGTCAGCCACCTTTGATCTGAGCCTGGGACTCGATGAGCCTCCAGGTCATTCTCCCGGCATCCCACTGCTGTCTGCCATCACCTGCTCCCCACCCCAGAGGGCTCCATTCTCCCGGCTTACGGCCTGGACCGCTGACCTGCCAGAGCCAGGAACACCACGCAGAGAGGAGCAAGGACCCCCACAGGGAGCTCTGGTCCGGCAGCTAATGGCTCCGCCGCACACATGGCTCCGCCAGGACAGGAACAGACCCTCACATGGACAGTCTGCTTCTGGGAAAGGCCCTGTCCGTCTCTGATGGAAAGCGGCACTGAGTAATCGCCAGGAGGCAGGCTTCTCAGCATTAAAAGTTCAACTGACCGACCTGCAAGGGAAGGGGGTCATGAATGCAGGGACTCGCACGTTTTTCCGCTGCTCCACAGATGTTTATAAAGGCCTCCAGGACCCAGGGCTCTATACGGGAGTTAGCCAGATGCAGAGTTAGAGGGGCCGTTGCCAACACCACCCTCACTTCCAACAGCAGCTGCAAATTCAGGGCTCGAATGCCGGCCAGCCGAGGGCAGAAGCACACAGGGCAGAGCCCAAAAACATGGAGCCAGGACATCGATGAGTGACAATACATATGGACCGTTGTCAACCAGGGAAGCCCCCAAGCCTGGCATCCTGAGTCTCTATTGGCCTCGGTCGTATAAGCCTGGTTGGCTGTCCATGTGACACAAAGCCCCACCTGAGACACTCTGTTCTGTGGACTGACACAAACCCCCAGGCAAACCCTCTTATCGGGCAGGACATTCCCAGGGCTTGAGGATGTGCTCCCGGGAGCCAAGGCCAGGCCAGACCTCTTGTGGGGAGAGGTTCAGGGCTCTGCCACACACTGGGTCAGGGAACTGTACACGGGAACTCAACTGAAAAAGCAAGCTCCGCTCCACATGTCCATTCGTAAAGCACAGAGGAGGGTGCTGTTGGCAGATGCCAGTGGTTCCTCCTGGTAAGAGATCCCCGTTCCCCTTTGGAAAAGTTCACATTCCTGAGCCCCCAGCCCCTGTGAGTCAGGAGAGGCTAAGGCCAGATCCCAGCCTGCTCCAGGTGTGGGCTCAGGACCAGCCAGAAAGTGTGCTCCTCCCCACTGCGACCCACAGGGATCGGCAGGACAGGTGACCCACGCCATGCGGGGAGGTAAGTGCTCTCTCCAGGTGCTGGAATGAGCCTCCAGGACTCCTGGGGCCACCCTTCGGTCCCCAGAGGAGAACCTTCTGAAGTGAAGGGACCCAGAGAGCAGCTGTGCCTATTGGAGGGACGGGCAGCGCCAGGGATGGTTCGGGTACCTGGACATGGCCCAGCGGGGGCACAGGCTGCCTGGCCTCTCAGTCACAAATGCCAGGAAATCCCTTTGGGCCCAATTCTGAGTCCGGTTTCTGTCACCGCGATCCTTTACCCCTGGCCCGTGCACTCACCCCGACTTTCCCCCAGTTTCCACGTGTCTCCTGCATGTCCCTGCGTGGTGTCCAGTTCAAAAGTAAACGGGTCTGAGGAGAGCTCCAGGTCGCCGTCCTCGGCCTCAATGAGGAGGGGCTCGGGCTCTGAGGACTCGCAGACCTCCAGGTACCGAGAGTGCGGGTGCAGACTCGGGGCGTTGGCATTGATGTCAGACAGGAGGAGCGTCAGGGTCCCCGTCCCCGTCTGCGGCGGGTGGCCTGGGGGTTCCAGAAGGGTTGCTTATCAATGAAAGAGCCGGCAGTGCCCACAGCCCCTGGCGAAGGAGAACGCAGCCTCGGAGGGAAAGAGCTGCCCACAGAGCTACCGAAGCCGTTCCCTCTCCTCATGGAGGCTGGTTGGAGGCAGACTTACTGGTTTCCTAACCAGCACCTGCTGATCAGTTATTCCAAACACGATGCACAGCTACGCACCCCTCGGAACCGGGGTGTGAATTCACAGGTGCCCTAAATACAAGTCCCGAAGGTACTTGGAAGTTGCTTTTTATTCAGCTTCACGTCCTGGCAGGTTTAAAACCTCAGCCTTGGGGGGTCACCGAGAGAAACACATTCTCAAAACCAACCCTGGGTTCACGACACAGCGGTGAAAGGTTGGCCTCTTCCCGTTTGTGCCAAGGCCCTCACCACGTTGTTTTCCCTCAGGGGCAAGGCCACACTCCCCCTGCTCGGGGGCGCGCACTCACCCTCATCAACAGCGTGTGCGATGACGACATACACGCCGTGGTTCACATGCGGGGACCCTCGGTCCAGCCGCTGCCTGGTGACCACCGCTCCCGAGCGCTCGTCCACGGTGACCCAGCTCGCGGGATCGTGAGCCAGCTCGTACCTCAAGGAAGGAGACGCGTGACATCTTTAAAACCGCAGCTATGTCAGAAGTCAACTCCCGTACCTCACGCCGACGCCAGTCCCATCACAAGCCACGTGGGGATTCTGAGGACCGTGACGTGGGGGCTGGGTCGGCACTCGCTGCGGATTGAGTGTGGGGTCCGCCTCAGGGAAAAGTCGATGCCTGCTAAGCAGCACCCCCGCGTCCTCCCACCCGCCCCTGCAGCCACCATCTGCTTTCTCTCTTTACGATTTGGTCCCTGATGCGGACTGTGGAGAGCACCTCCTCTAAGGGGAATCACGCAGCGTTTGTCTTTTCGTGACTGGCTTGTGTCACTTACGTCGTCATCAATTATTCACAAAATGTGGAAGCTGTCTACGTGTCCATCAGGCAACAGGTGAGTGGATAAGTGAAATGTCTATCCGTGCAGTGGATACAGGTGAGGCAAAAGCAGGTCTACAGTTGTTCATACGGAAAGTGAGACGGTAATTAATAAGTAATAATCATGCAAGAATAAACTCTGTTTTGTGTACTCACAACCGTAAGCCTGCTTTTGCCCCACTCTGCATTGTTCAACCTTCAGAAGAAAGGAGACCTGCCGCATGCTGCATCATGGGCAACCCGAGGGCATCAGGCACCATCACATAAGCCAATCACAGAAGGGCAAGCTCAGGGGGGTCGTCAGATTCGTGGAAACAGAGTGGAGTGGTGGGGGCAGGGGCTGGGGGGTGGTGGGGAGAGGATGGGGGTTATTTTTAATGGGGACAGCGTTCCAGTTTTACAAGATGAGGGGAATTCTGGGATGGGTGTGGTGATGGTCATACAACACTGTGAATGTGCTCAATGCCACTGAACTGTCACTGGACAACAGTTGAAATGGTAAACCTTATGTCATGTACATTTTACCACAGTTTCTAAAAAAACAACACTCTGTTATCCAGAAGCCAGAGGCCGGCCAATTCACACCCTTTGGTAAAGAGGGGGACAGAAACACAGGAGCAATTATTCTAAGATGAGAAAAGGACTATAAAAGAGTATATTCTAGCCCTGGCCAGCATGGCTCGGTGGTAGAGCGTCCGCCTGCGCACTGGTTTCGATTCCTGGTCAAGGGCACGTACCTGGGTTGCAGGTTCGTTCCCAGGCCCCAGTCAAGGCAAGTGCAGGAGGCAACCAGTCAGTTGTGTCTCACATCGATGTTTCCCTCCCTCTCTCCTTCCCACTCCCCCTTCCCCCGCCCCCCGTTCTCTAAAAATCCTTCCCTCCCACTCTCTCTAAAAGTCAATGGAAAGATATGCTCAGGTGAGGACTAACAACAACAGAAAAGAGTATATTCTAGGTGCAAAGGGAATGAGTAAGTGAACTCCCCCTGGTGGGTCAGAGAATGCTGTGGAAGGAAGAAGGCATGGATCCTGGGCCAGGGACCTTTTGGGGGCTTCTGGAATTTTCATAACAGACAGTCACCCCAGCATCGCACCAGAGAAACTGGTTTTCTGACAGGACTGTTCCCAGCTGCATGGCTGTTCTGCTTCAACAGCCTCCTTTCTCCTTCCTCTTCTCACCTTATCTGGCTGCTGCTTCCATCTGGGTCTGTAGCGTTAAACCTTCCCAAGTGCGTCCCGGGCCTGGCGCCTTCGACCTCGCTGACGACGAAGCTCCTGGGGTGGAAGGCTGGCGGGTCGTTGGCGTCTGTCACCTGCACCAGCACCATGGCGCTGGCTGCAGTCTTCCTCCTGGGCTTTTGCAGCTCACCAGCCTCGCAGGGGACTAGCAGCTCCTCGTTTTCCACGGCAATGACCAGGCTGCATGTGGGATGCGTTTCGTAATCCAAAGCCTGCAGCCGGCAGAGCGGGTCTCGTTAGCTAGCACCTGCTGCTCCTGGCTCAGCCAGGGGCCCTGGCGAGCTCTGGCTCTGCAGGCCACTTACTATTTCCCTTGTCTTTGATAATGATCAAGACAGTCGTCAGCTCACTGTCAGATCATTTATGCAGTTCCTCCCCCGCCCCATGCTGGTTGGAAAGAGCCACCATCCGTCAGGGGTAATGAAAAATACAACAAAAACTGTAACCTAATGAAACATTAATGTGACAACCCTGGTGCAAAATCAATCAGCAGGCCTGGAAGGAATATACATATTAATGACCATAGTTATTCGGGGCACAAGGTGGTCAGTGACTTAAAGGACTGAGAGGCTGGGGTAAGTAGGCAGTCCAGCCCGGGCGTGTGGTGTCTCGCCTGGGAGCCTGTCACACTGACAGCAGGAGGTCAGGCTCTAGCCCCAGCCCCGCCCAGCCTGACCCCCGCGGGGGGGGGGGGGGGGGGGGGCGCTCACCTGCCCTGCGCTAGAGGCGCTGGTCATGCTGGGGTCCAGCTGAGAGCAATTCAGACTAAAGGCCTGGAGCCAGACTGCCCCAGCAGAACCCTCCTCTAGCTGTGTGACTTCCCAAGAATGGCCCAACCTCTCTGGGCTCTGGTGTCCTTGTCAGTAGAGACAGTGACACTTCACTGCAGGGCCAGCTCTCTGTTAGGCACAGCAGGCCCCGTGGCAGCGCCTCCGACGCTCTCAGGGGCTTGAGGAAATGTTCTTATTCATTTAGACTCAGAAGGAAACACATGAATTCAGGGCTCGAGAAAATGTTTCAGATATTTTTACCAGAAAGAAAACATTTAAGGCCTATGTAAGTCTATTAAATTTTGCCTAAAAATATTAAATGTCGAAGTCAAAGTTTTATCAAAAATAACTTTTAATATGGATATTAATTTGGCAGAAGGAGCCGGGAAGGCAAAGGCTCACTTCAGAAGGCCTGGGCCAGCCCGGCCCCCCGGCTGGGTGCCTCGAGGGCTCCAGACACTGAGAGATCCCGAGACCAGCTCCCGCTCCGCACCCTCGACCCCCGGCCCGTGTGTGTTCTGTGCAGCTTTACCTTGATAACATTTAGTATCCCTTCGTTGGTCTCAGGGTCAGTCGAAATGTCAAAATGTCCCCCTTCGTTGCCATTGGATATGTTGAACTTTGCCCTCCAAGCTGACGTGAATGGCGAGTCATCATCCTGGACCGGGAGACGCAGCACGTCCGGGCTGACTCGGCCTTCGGGAACCTGAATCTTGTACTGAGAGAGGCAGTCACCATTCCATGTCATGGAGGTGAAGAAACAAAATTGAAAAAGAAAGCAGGAAAGGAGATGTCAGCCTCACACTACCATCTGGATGTTTCTCTTGCTGTTGAACTTAACCTCAAGGGATTTGAAACTGCCTGATGCAGCCAAAGAGCAGCTCGCCCTCCTCCCTGTGCCTGGTCCTCCTTCCAATGCAGTGAAGGGGCTTTGCAAGTGCACGCTCTTCAGCCCAGCGCACGCACCACTTGTCAAAGAATTTTTAAAATGACAACACATCCCAGTTTATGCTGCCCCCAAATCCTGGCTCTCTCCTAAAACAGAACTCCTTGGTTACGTAGGCCCTTTCTAACACAGACCTTGGAGTAATTGCTATTTAACACTTCCGGGACAAGAAACTGCTGCAGGCAAGCCCACCCCAATGCCAGGGTTTGTTGCTGCAGCCTTACTTTTGAAAGCACAGCTTCCACCAAGCCAGAGAAGAACTTGGAAGCAAGGCGCACATGTGAGCAATATGATTTTTCCGTTTTTCTGTACTATTTGGTGAGGTGTTTTCATTAAAAACATGTCAGCCCTAGTTCATACAATTTTTAAATATTTTTAAGTGGCATGTTTTTAAAGTTAATTTGTAGCATTTTTTTCTGTACCAGATTCTGTTTTAGGTGCCATGAGCAAGATGAACAAAAACCCCATCCCCAGGGAACGGATGATTGGGGAGGGGGGTTCCTTGGGGGTGCAGGTGGGGGCTGGGGGAGAGGCCAGAAGAAAGATAGAGATACAATGGATATTTTCCTTTAAAAATTCATATGGAAGAGTAAGAAATGGGGACGAAAGGCAAGCAGATCCTGGTAGTTATCACTTCTCTCCTGGAGTCCCGCCTGCAGTGGTGCTGCATTTCCACAGAGCACAGCCTGGGGACGGTGTCGCATGTGACATTCTACAGGGAGCACCAGTGATAAACCAGGTGACTGAGGCCGAGCTTAGCACACCTGCCCATCTTCCTTCTACAGCCTGAACATGTGGGGAAAGCCCAGGTTTAGACTTCTCACCGGGGGCAGTTCTCCCCTCCAGGGGACAGGTGACAATATCTGCAGACATTTTTGGTTCCCATGACTTGGGGGGGACTGCTGGCATCTAGTGGGTAGAGGGCAGGGTTGCTGCTAAACATCCTACAATACACTGGGCAGCCTCCTCCCCGCAATGAAAACTTCCCACCCCCAAAAGTCAATAGCGTGGAGCTTGGGAAACCCTGGGGTACAGTGAGTGTGGCATCTCTAACCTCCCTGGAGGCCTCAGTGTCTGCATGTGTGGAACAGAAATCACGGGTAGTTCCAGCAATTAAGAATGAAATTATGCACGAAAAAGTTCTGAGCAGTTTCTCACACAAAGTAGTAAAACATGCCAGCTCATTTGACTAAATCAAACGAGTTTCTAATCACGTGGTCACTTCTCGACTCTAGTTTCCGTTACTTTGGAAAACTACAGGATGCAGGGTGATATGGGGACACCCTCAGGGACTGAGCCTAGGACTCGGGCCGTCATGTCGGGACTGGGACCGGGGGCAGCCGGGTCTTACGTTCTCCTGGATGAACGTGGGCCTGTGGTTGTTGCCTTCCTGCACGCTGATGTGAACCGTGGCCGTGGCCGACAACGGTGGCTCCCCGCAGTCTCTCGCTCTGATTAGTAGTGTAAACCGAGGAGCAGTCTATATGGGGAGGAAAGGAAAGTCAAGCTCCGATGCAGGAAAGGGGAAGGATGTCAATAAAGGAACATCCCATTTTAGAATTTCAGTAGCAAGAAAGCCAGAGGGTTTCCCAGTGCCACACCAATCCTGTGCCCAAGGTCAGAGACACAGCCATTTCATTGTTTTAAAATAAAATCCACATAACCTCATAATCTAAGCATCCCAAGAGTCGGATTTCTCCACTATCACGGTCGATCTCAAAGCCACTTTCCTTCAGTAACGGCTTTTGTGAAACGAGGAAGTAAAGGACTCGAGAATTTGGAGTATTTTCTTCATCCAAATCAACCGTTAACAGCTGAAGAACAGGCTGACCTGGAAGAATTTTTAAATTGTTACTATTGGCCAAAGGCAGCCTATCGGACCCGTAGGAAGGTGGCACTTTGCTGACTGGCATTGGGGCATGCACCAGAATAGCTGAAATATTTGCATATAAAATCAAACTGTAGGTGGAGCAGACAAAACAAAAAGTGGTATTCACATCATCATATGACCATGATTACAAATGCAGAAGACTTAAAGGGCAGAATTGATAGATAGGCTTTTAACTGCATGGATACAAAAGCTTCAGACAAAATTTAAAAAGAATGATAAACCAGAAGGACATATGTGAAATATACATGGCAGACATACACATTCTTTAAAAAAAAAAAAATTATTGATTCCAGAGAGGAAGGGAGAGAAAGAGAGAGAAAGAAACATCAAAGATCAGAGAAAATCATTGATTGGCTGCCTCCTGCATGCCCCACACTAGGGATCAAGCCCACAACCCGGGCATGTGCCCTGACCAAGAATCGAATCTCAAATCCTGACCTCCTGGTTCATAGATCAATGCTCAACCATTGAGCCATGCCAGCTGGGCGACATAGACATTCTTAAAACAGAATGAGGAGGTTAAAATCAAGAAGAAAAATGAGAAGCACACTAATGGAAATGGACAAAGAAAGGAACAAGCAAGGGAAAGAAGAAACGGAAAGAGCCAAGAAACTTACAAAGCATGCAAGCACCTAATGTGAACCATCCACTCGCATAGATGGTGTGGAGAAGTAAATTGGAACACAAACTGTGGGTGCATTTCCCACCACGTGAGAAATTACGGTGACATTCATGAACTCACTGCCCAGCTTTGTCTTTCTCCCTCGTTGCATTTGGCTTTATTTTAGACTAGTGTCTGGGAACACAGATTAGTGCACATTAAAAGGAAATTAATTAGAAGAAATATTTTAGTATCGCTATGTACCCTCTCTCTATGATAGAAGTGTCAACCAACTTCACAACCAACAATGACAGGTCGAAACATGCATGCGATTGGCATCAGCGAGAGTTTTATATGTTTCACGAATGTGCAAGTCAACTTAGCCTTTTATAGACATAGAAGAAACTTGCTTAATTTGACCTGCTTTCTGATGTAGCTAAACTTTCTCCAGCCCAGTGAAGCACCCTGACTTCTCTTTCAGGTAATTGTCAGCAACACAGCAGTAAATACCAACATGAAGCAGATTATTATTGTAGATCACCCAGGGAGAACAAAGGGTAAAATATTTAACTGCAGCAGTGTTTGACTACATTCTGTGCAGTGAGAAAACCTGAAGTCATTTTCAGTGGCCACCATTTCTTACTTCTTTTCAGTTGGGTCAAGTTTCTAAACTTTCTAAATCTCTGTTTTGTGGCTAATGAAAAGAAACTTAGGATTCTACTGAGTCTCCTATCTACCTCCTATCTGCCTCCAGGACTTCTGTGAGGATCAAATGAGATGAAGCACAGGAAAACACTTCACACACATTTGGTTAAAGTGTAAAATGTTTGCACCTGGCTATAAAGCAAGTTGTGCTCCTGGGCTGAAGAAACTCCAAGGAGGCTAGTCGCTAGGGAGAGGAAGCTGGGTGTTGCTACATGATGTCATTACCCGGTACCCACAGCAACCGTTTCTGGGCTGGGCTAGGCTGTGGGCCACATTTTGTGTCATGGGGTCTTGGCAGCTTTGGCTGCGATTTGGTTGGGTGTAGCTCCAGTGTGGTGGTGGGGAAGCCAAGTATTGGTTTGTCAGTGCCAGGCCGTGGTGCCATTTATTTTTAAATGGCCAGCGTGCATCATGGCAGCTCCTGTGTTGAGCATCTGCCCCCTGGTCATCAGTGAGCATCATAGCTACTGGTTGGATGGACACTTAGCCTTTTATATATATTCTAGAGGCCCGGTACACGAATTCGTGCACGGGTGGGGTCCCTCAGGATGGCCTGGGGAGATCAGGCCCCAGCTCACGTCCCCAGCCTTACAGCTCCACAATCCCACTTTGCACCTCACCTTGGCCTGGTGCTGCCCCCTCACCTGCTCCATCATCCTGCCTGCAGGGCAATCTATTGGGGCCAGGCCTTCCATCCGGCTCCCTCAGTGCCTGTGAGCCAGGCGGTGGCCCTGCTGCTGCCACTGGTCACCATCTGCAGGGCGATCAGTGGGGCAATTGGGCCCCACTCACACCTGCCTTGGCCTGGTGCTGCCCACTCACCTGCTCCACCATTCCACTCTCATTGGGGCCCATCGGTGCCAGCAGCACCTCCACTGCTGCCCACTGCCAGCGCCACTTTGCCAACACCTGCCATGTTCCGTGCCACCCCTTGGTGGTCAGCGTATGTCATAGCGAGCAGTTGAACTCCCAGTCTCCAAACTCCCAGTTTCCAGGCCGAATGACTGCCCGAGAGGGCAATTGCATATTAAACTTTTATTATATAGGATATTGGTATTTACATATTGACTCTGCCAGAGGATTCAACATTGCATTGCCAACAAAAACAGGCTGCAGACCTCAAGCATTTGCTCTGATCCAGAGCCTGGGCCCTCTGGATGTGGCCAGTGAACTGCCTCCCTGCAGACAACTGCAAGCAAGTGCCCCAAGTGTCGGCAGGAGAACCTTCAGGGGACAGAAAGGGCAGTCCACAGCCCAGCACACACACCTGCTGCGTGGCTCTCTCTCACACTGACATTGAATTCATTCTTGGGGAACTGGGGTGCATGGTCATTCACATCAGTGATCCTGATGTTGAAGATCAAGGAGTTGTCCACATACTCTCCTGTCAAACGGTTCACAACATCGAAGTAAACCTGGGAAGCAGAGAACCTTGTTAATGTGGAAGAACCCCTGGCTTGGTGACGCTAATCACATTACTGTCAGAATCACAATGGAGAAAGGAGACATCAGGGATCATTCCTGCATGTGGAAAGGGCTTTAGCCTTGTGTTGTAGCTGGAAGACTGCCATCCTCGGAGAAACAAACCATAGTGCATTGACGTGGTGGATTGGCATATGGCTATTTAAAATTACACATGCAAGGTCTATGCTCTTAGACACAAATGAGCAAGAAGAAACATCCTATGTGCCAAACACATATAACATCACTTCTATGCAGAGATCGTAAGTGGGTCAAGATAACTGTTGGGATGAAGAGCAACAAAAAGTTATTTCGAGGAATATGAAAGGATGGATTTTTTTTTAGTGTATTTGCATCCTATGAAATTGAGCATGTTTTGCTATGAATAGATAGGATTTCTGCACAGAAAAAAAAGACCTTTTCCCTTTTCAACTCCATCTTAAATCTTACAGAAGTTCTAACTTGGTGTCACTGCTTCTCTAACAAGAAGTTAGCCCCCTCCCCCCCCATCCCACACCCAGATCCTGCCACCTCCCAAACACAACTGGGAAGTGTTGAGGCTGGTTCGGGTGACTCCTTCACTGTCCGGTGCCACGAGAAAGGTCTTTTTGCCACTGCATTGGGCTTACTTAGTGTTTAATAGTACTGGTCATTGTGGACAGACAATGATCAGCATTCTTCCACCAAGGCAGGTGGTTGAGCCCAAACGCTCAGTTTGTATAGTGCTCCCGTGACACTTGGCTCGCCCACTTTTTTTTATCTTTATTGTTGAGAGCATTATAGATGTCCCCCGCCCCTTCTTCCCCTCATTGCCCCCATCACCTAGATCAGCCGTGGGCAAACTACAGCCCGAAGGCCGGATCCGGCCCGTTTGAAATGAATAAAACTAAAAAAAAAAAAAGACCGTACCCTTTTATGTAATGATGTTTACTTTGAATTTATATTAGTTCATACAAACACTCCATCCATGCTTTTGTTCCGGCCCTCCGGTCCAGTTTAAGAACCCATTGTGGCCCTCGAGTCAAAAAGTTTGTCCACCCCTGACCTAGATCCTGCCCCACCCAATGCTTTCACCATCCTATTATCTATGTCCATAGGTTATGCATATATACATATGAGTTATTTGGTGGACCTTTTCCCACCACCTATCCCCACTTCCCTCTGAGATTCTTCAGTCTGTTCCATGTTTCCATGCTTCTGGTTCTATTTTATTCATCAGTTTATTTTGTTCATTAGATTCCTTGTTCATTTATTTTAATTTTTAGATTCAACTGTGGATACGTATTTATTGCCTTTTTCTTTTTTTCTTCTTCTGCTTAAAGAAGACCCTTTAACATTTCTTGTAATACTGGTTTGGTGGTGATGAACTCCTTTAGCTTTTTCTTGTCTGTGAAGCTCTTTATCTGACCTTCAAATCTAAATGTTAGCTTCTCTGGGTAGAATAATCTTGGTTATAGGTCCTTGCTTTTCTCATCACTTTGAATATTTCTTGCCACTCCCTTCTGACCTGCAAAGTTCCTGCTGAGCAATCAACTGACAGTCATATGGGTGCTCCCTTATAGGTAACCTTTGTCATTTTAATTATGATGTGTCTTGGTGTGGACCTCTTTTGGTTCCTGTTGTTTGAGACTCTCTGAGCTTCCTGGACTTGTGTGTCTATTTCTTTCACCAGGAAAGGGAAGCTTTCTGTCATTATTTTTTTTCAAATAAGTTTTAAATTTCTTGCTCCCTTTCTTCTCCTTCCAGCACCTCTGTGATGGGAATGTTGGTACGCTTGAAGTCCCCCACTGTCTTAATTTTCTTTCTTTTTTTAAATTCTTTTTTATTTTTGCTGTTCTGATTCGGTGTTTTTTGCTTCCTCATATTCCAAGTCATTGATATGATTCTTGGCATCCTCTACTCTACTATTGATTCCTTGTAAATTATTCTTCATTTCAGTTAGTGTATGCTTCCTTTCTGACTGGTCCTTCTTTATGTCATTGATGTTCTAAATTCCTTGCAGTTGTCACTAAGTTCCTTGATCATCCTCATAACCGTTTTGAACTCTATATTGGTAGTTTGCTTGCTTCCTTTTCATTTAGTTTTTTCTGCAGATTTCTTCTGTTCTTTCATTTGTGACGTTTCTTTGTCTCTGCATTTTGGCCATTTCACTGTGTTTGTTTCTATGTATTAGGTAGAACTGCTATGTCTCCTGGAATTGATAGAGTGGCCTTATGTAGTAGGTGTCCTGTGGGGCCAGTGGCTCAGCTCCCCAGTCACCTAAGCTGGGTACTCTAAGGGCACACCTGTGTGGCCTGTTGTAGTTGAGCCTTGCTTGCTGTTGGCATCACTTGGAAGGATTGACCCCCAGGCCAATCAGATATGTGGACAACCTGTGCATACAGCTTAGCTGCTATGCAGGAGTTGCCCCTGTGGTGCAGGACTTGCTTCAGTGGGGCTTTGGTGCTCACCGAGTCTGGCCCTTGAGTGTGTCACTCCTTGATGTGGCAGAATTGTAATTTGGCATGGTCTAAAGCTGATCACCAGGTCCCCTGGCTCTGAGGCCACCCAGGAGTTGCAAAGTCAGCTACTTCCTGTGCCCTGCCTGGGGCCACCCAGCACAGGCTACAGCATGATCTGCAGTTGGCTGCTATTTGTGTTGGACTTGGCGGTGCCCAGGAGAGGCCAAACTGTGGGCCAAGGCAGGCTGCTGCTAGTGCTGGGCCTGGGGCCTTCTCTTGAGAGATACAGAGCATTCTGAGGCCAGCTGCTGCTTGTTTGAGAGATTTTAGAAAAGTCTGAAGCCTGAGCCAGGACAGGCTATTCATATGGAAAGACCACTGCACACAGCTTGAGTGGGGCTGCAAATTGGGTGGTGCAGGGCTTCAGGAAGTTACCAGGGTGGGGCACACACTGTGGGCCAGGTTGATGGAAACTCAGACATGGTGCCCACCAGTCAGCATTGTGGTGTGGGAGGTCTCAGCATAGGAACAGTGACCTCTGCCAGCATTTTTGTCTGGGAGAAAGGTGCCTCTTAGTTCTTTGCTCTTATGCCAGACAATTTAGTTCCTCCCCATATATCCCTGGTTCCTTTCAAGCTGCTGGAGCTCAGAGAGAGTAAGTCTCTGTGCTGGCCCTTTAAGAGGAACAACTGGGACTTCAGTAGCCTCTGTGTCACTCAGCCACAATTCCCACCTGAAGTTACAGGAACTTCTCTTCCCGGCACTGAATCCCTGGGCGGAGGGGCCTGGTATGGGGCTGGAACCCCATGCTCCTCACATAAACCTTTGTAGGCAAGATATCCCTCCTAATTAAGAAAACAACATAGGTGGGTGTTGGGCCAGCCTGTTCTGCATCTCTGTCCTTCCTACCAGTCTCATTATGCTTTCTTCTTTAATTCTCTAGTTGTAGGATTTCCGGTAAGCCAAATTTCATGCGGTTCTGAATGATGGTTGTTCTGTGCTTTAGTTGTAATTTTGATGTGGTTGTGGGAATGTGTGAGCACTGCGTTTATGGACGCTGCCACCTTGACCGGAAGTCTCTCAGCTGTCCCACTTCTGAAGGTTGGCATCTTCCTTGTCAGCCACGTCACATCTTCTAACCCCTATGGGTTCATTTCCTATGACTGCTGGAACAATGGACTACAAACTGCGTGGCTTACAACAAAAACTCAATCTTTCACAGAACCGAATTGAGGTGTGGGCAGGGCTGGTTCCTGCTGGAGGCTCTGAGGGAGAATCTGTCTCCCGGTTTGTGGTGGTTGCCAGCAGTCCTTGGTCTACAGATGCATCACTGCAGTCTCTGTGCCGAGCTTTACATGGCCTTTCCCCGTGTCGCCCTCTGTGTCCAAATCTCCCCCCTCTCATGAGGATGCCAGTCACTGGGTTAGGACCCACACAGAACAGTAATCCAGAATGACCTCGTCTTAATTTATTAACATCTATGAAGAATCTATATCCAAGTAAGCTTACATTTACAGTACCAGGGGTCAGGACCTTAACCCATCTTTTTGGAAGACACAGTTCAACCCACAACACCCTGGAAGGCAGAGTCTATATTTTTCTGTGTGCATTTATTCATTCAACATGATTAACTGAGGACCTACTATGTACAGGGCCCTCTTCTTGATGCTGGGGTCATGGCAATGAACAAGACAGGGTCTCACCATTCTTAGAACCTACATTCTAATGGAGATTGACCTTCAAAGGGCACTCAAACACAGAAGTACACATTCATGGAATGCAGAGAATTGGGGAGAAAAACCAGAGTAGTGTGACAGAGAGCCATGGGGGCTGGGGGGTGGGGAGGGGGACACCTCATAGTTCCCACCTGTATCTTCCTTCCTGCAGGTTTGCAGTCAAATAAGAGGACCAACTAGCCAACTGTTGCAGAAATCCCTGTGAAAGGACACCTGTGAGCAGTGCTTTGGGGATGGGTAAATGGGTTTGATGAAGCCGGGAGGTGCAAGCACAGGGCCTGGAAATCTCGATGGGAAGAACCATGGGGATGTCTGTCGTGTCCCCACATGTTCCCTTTCTGACCTAAATGGTGCCTGGGACCCATCTGCGACATGCCAAGCTTTTCCATCTGGACTTCAAGTTTCAGAAAACAACCCTTAAGACTTCACTGAAGATGTTAAAAACAAACAACACCCAGAAAAGAAAAATCACAGGCACTAAATGTTTGCTCTGCCCTTGCACAGGTCACTGTGATTGTCATGTTCTAGGTCCTCTGTCCTCAGTGTCTAGAGACACATCTCCTGGAGAGAGCCTACTGGCCCAGCGTCTGCATTTAACCAGCCCCCTGGTGATCTGCACTAATTAAAGACCAGAACGCACCCTCCCAGGGTCCCCCGTGACCTCTGTTTTCCTTCTCTTACCAGACTCTGCAGGTTCTGTGAATGGGACAGGGTTTATGTGGATGGGACAAGGTTTGTGTGGAGTCGTTTTTGCATGTCCTTCAGAATTTGGGGATACTTTCTGCCTCTTTATAAGTCAGAGATGCAGAACCTGTCAGTGAGTTAAGGCAATATATTTTCTTATGTATATGAAAATGTTGAGGTCACTGAAGAAAAGCTACTTACATCCCTTCTCTCTGATGTTAACACCTTCCCACCCCAAAGGTGTAAATGTATAGCCAGTCAGGCAGAGGACCAAGTCTGGTTTCTAGCAGAAGGCAAAACAGAACAAAAGCCAACTTGCTATGATTCTCCTAGAACAGGGGTGGGCAAACTTTTTGACTGGAGCGCCACAATGGGTTCTTAAACTGGACCAGAGGGCTGGAACAAAAGCATGGATGGAGTGTTTGTGTGAACTAATATAAATTCAAAGTAAACATCATTATATAAAAGGGTACGGTCTTTTTTTTTTTTTTTAGTTTTATTCATTTCAAATGGGCCGGATCAGGCCTGCGGGCCGTAGTTTGCCCACGGCTGTCCTAGAAGATTAGGCAGCAATGTGATCCACCCCCCTGTGCTTCAGGCATTTCCCTTTCCCATTGCCTTTCCTGGTTTAGAACCTGAATTTCAAGTTCACAGTGCACAATGGACCAGGGTGTTGGGGTGGTGAGACCATAAAGAGCACCTGGATTCCCACTAAGAAACTGTTGCCGGGTGTGCAGTTGCTCACTCATCAGTTATTAGGCAACCCAGGGGTCTGTCTATGCCTCTCTCCATAGATTTCAACTGTGACTCTTCAGAGGATAAATTTGCTCATTTAATGCTGTGAAATCCTGATCTGTTGGGATACTGGTCAGTAAAAGGCAGGAGGGTAGCAGTTCACATAGACACAGAAATCGTTACACAGCCAATGTCCAGACTAAAGATTACAACATTCACCTCTGGGTCCCATGCACACTTTTAAAGCCTCCGAGATGCATAATAACACATCCACCTCCCATAACCTGACACACAGCTCAGATAATTCTACCACATACACAATTCCAGCCAGAGATTTACAGTATGGAATTTTAGGTACCGTAAAAGATGGCGTCGTCTCTCGGTCAACAGGGCGGTGAACATAGATTTTTCCATTCTCATGATCTTCTATAGAAAACAAGCCAATCTCTGGATATTTATCCACACCTGGTCCACTGATTAAATACATCAGTGCCATGTTAACTGACATATTATTGAACAGCTGGAAGGAGAAAAATTAAGAAAAACAGAATGAGCATAAACCACTTTGCATGTCATTTACCAAGGCCGAGACTCAGAGGCATCGGTGAAGAACCATACCCAGCAAGAGTGCATGGGAGGGCTTGTCCTAAAGAAATCAGCGGATCAGCAAAGGTGCAGGAACAAGGAACAAGTTGACTGTTAATAGTGAGAAGTCATAAGCAACATCAATGTGCAACCACATGGAAGGAATCATGTGGCCTGGACATCCATGCTCCTCCCCAGAAATGGGTGTGGCCCAGGGTTAGGCAGAAGCTGCATGCGGAACAGCAAGCAGAGTGTGACCCATTCTGCTAACACAGATTCCCGTGGTGAGGTTGTAAGGAAGTATCTGAAAGCAGGCATACCCGATTGTGAATTTCGGTTGTCCGACCAGGGAAAGACAAGTAATAGCCACACAGCTGACATTTAGGAGAGCTCAGAGTGAGCCCGCGCACTGTATGCCTCACTCGTCCTGACCTACTGTAGAACAGCCCTTAACGGAAGCAGGCCATTGATGAGGAAGGAACGAGGGTCCCTAATAGAGAGAGCGCATGGTACGTCTGGAACATGTGCTCCAACCCCTGGGAGTCTACACTTTTAACCACTGGGCTTTGAAAACTCCCTGTAGGCCTTGAAAATGTCCTGTAGGTTTTTTATAGTAGGCATATGCTGTTTTTATAAACATTGTGAAAATGAGTTACTCTTAATTATTTTCTAGGAATCAGGCACAGTGGACTCAAGCACTCTGTGTAACTCAGAAGCCCATCACGGCCAGGAAGGTGGTGGAATACACAGCCCGGGCCATGTGTAAGAATTCTGGCGTTCTGACAGCACCGGATGTCTTCTTTGGTGCCTCAGTTGATCCTCAACCTCAGAGTGAGGGAGACAGTAGGGAGTGGTGGGGACTGTGGCATTCTGAGTATCTCAAACCCCATCTCATTGTTGCCATGTGAGAATGGCTCCATGTGGTCAGGTTTTACAATTTTTAAAAAGCTTCTAGAAGACAGAACTTTTAATACAGTCTCCCTATTTTTTCTAATGTTTTTATTGTGCTAAAATAAGAACATAAATTTACTCTCTTAACTGTTTTTCAGTGCGCAGTTCAGTGATGTTAAGTACATTCATGTCATTGTGCTGCCATCAGCACCATCATCTTCAGAACATTTTCATCTTGCAAAAGTGACTGTCCCAATTAAACACTCTCCTGTGACACCCTCCCACCACCCCTGGCACCCACAGTTCTACTTTCCTTTTTTACTTTAATCTCACTTTTACCCCCACCCTTCCCCCACAGCTTCTGGTAACCACAATCTCCTTATTTTTAAACTAGTGGTCTGGTGCATGAAATTCATGAACATTAAAAGGGAATTAATTAGAGAAAATACTTTAATATTGCTATTTGCCCTTTCTTTATAATGGAAGTGTCAGAGATGAAAGAATATTAGTAAAATGTATATGAAATCTCTCTCCTGTGCGAGGGCACAACAACCATTTGCATATTAGCTCTCTATTATATAGGATAATGAATTTTTTAAAAAGACTCCACATGAGTTAAATAAATCAGGCCTGCAGACTGGAATTAACCAGCCCATTGACATATGTGACCCCGACTTTCTCGGCGACACTCCCGTGGAGAAGTCACCACTCAGGCAGAGGCAGGCATGGGAAGCACAGTCCAGGGTCTCTCTGAGCACCACCCCCCGGCCTCACAGCCACCTGGCTGCCATGACTTCATCCTCCTGCCCAGGGCCCTGCTGATCGGGGGCCAGTGTGGCCTTTCCCAGAGGAGGAGCAGCTGCCTTACCTCTCCAACGAATTTGGGAAAGGGTCCGGTGTCTTCCTCCTGCAGCTCCAAGGTGGTGACAACCCATCTCCTCTTGTATCGCCGTAGAGGCTGGTGGCTCTCCGCCTGGAGACGCAGTGACAGTGCTTAGGAGCAAGGCAGTGATGCGGGCAGGTGCTGGCTGGCCCTCCCCACATCCTTCCTCATCCTCACAACAGCTTCTGATGCTTAGAAATGAAACACACCTGTTCTCTTACCAACCTTGAAGTCCTTCCTAAACTGCGAGGCACGGCCATCAGTGACTCCCAGGGTCCATGAGGTCATTTTAGGGGCCACAGAGACAGAGCCTGGGAGACCACTGCCTATTGTGTGCCTACACCTGGCCTGTGGCAGACACGCAAACAGAATGAGCGGGAACGTTGCTCCTGCTCTGTCTGAAATCACTGAGGCAGAAGCCTCCATCCAGAGCTGATGGGTCTTGACCACCTCTCTCTCTTCTGATCCCCCTGGGAACCCAGAGAGAGAAAGACGTAGGTGCAGCATTAGGGTCAGAGACTTCTCAGGCAAGAGAATACCGGTAGAACTTAACATTACAGTTACTGTCTACTTATGACACGTGAACCTAGTTTATTGCCACATTCATTTTTATCCAGAAAAATGTACTTTTTAAAAATCCTCACTCAAGGATATTTTTCCATTGCTTTTAAAGTGGAAGGGTAGCGGGAGTGAGAGGGAGAGAGAAACATTGAGGTGGGAGTGACACATTGATTGGTTGCCTCCCAATGTGCCCCTACGAGGCCAGGGATCCAGCTTGCAACCGAGGTACGTATATGCCCTTGACCAGGAATCAAACCTGGGCCAAACACTCTAATCACTGTGTAAAATTGTCCAGGGCCAGAAAAATGTACTTAAAAAAAAAAAAAAAGACCTCATTAGAAAGTGAGTTGATCATGAGAACAAGAGGAGGGACATGATCCTGAGGTGGCCTGAGCATTGGGGTGAGCGCCTGTCTGCAGCCTGTGTGCCACCCCCATGCTGGGAACATTCAGTCCCCTCTGTGTACATTCCACAGAGAAGATGGCGTGGATCGCCTCTGCTGATCTCTGATGCTCACAGCTTGCTCGTATTCTAATCAGACATCAAGGCCCCATCTGAGACCCTTTGGCAGTCCGATTCTGAAAGTCCACACCGAGTTACGAACTCATTTCTGCCAACCAAACAGCACTTGGGCACCAGCAGCGCAAACCAAGCTGCCTCCCAGGCCAGAGGAGCCGGGTGGGTCCGTAACGGCGCTGACTTCCAGGCCCACCTGCGTTTGCTTAGCCAGGTCCTTGGTTTCTTGTCGGAGGCTGTTGATGAGGCCGACCTTAGAAATGAAAATGACATTGATTAGTAGGGAACATACTGATCAGAATCAGGTAGAAAGGCTAATCATGAAGAATTAGGGGGCGGGAAAGAACTGCTTTTAGTTGATAAATATAATTTCTTGCTCATGACATCTCAATTTACAATTACCACCTTCCTTATGTAATTACAGGAGAACGGACCAAAGACTTTTGCCCTCCTGTTACCCACGCTGGGGACATGTACTGCCATGAAATGAACAAAGGGGCCACATTGTGTGCTGAGGCCGGGCAGGTGCACTGACATGTGCACGTGTGCAATACACCAAGTGTTAATGGGCGGTGGGATCCCCGGGGGCTTCTTTCTATTTTTTTCCCCCTTTTTTTCCCCCCTTTCTTTTTGGATTTTATCTTACAATCAATAATAATAAAAGCATATTATGCTAATTAGACTAGACAACCTTCCAGACAAAGCTGGGGCTACAAGGGAAGCCTGGGCCCCAGGTGCCAGAGGGAAACTGGTGCTGGCAGCCTGGGGAAAATAAGGCCTGCTCTTGCACAAATTTCATGCATTGGGCCTCTAGTCCTATCTAAGAAAGAGGCAATATGCTAATTGACCTTCACACCATTACAAAGATAGCAGTGCCCACAGCCAATAAGGAGGGAATATGCTAATTGACTGCCCTGCCCTCAAAGATGGAGGCGCCCACAGCCACAAGATGGCGGTGCTCAGTCCACTGAGCCCTGTCGGGGTGGCAGGTGTGCAGCAAGGCTGGGCCCACCCCCATGGCTGCTCCATGCGCCTGCCTCCGGAGTCCCCCAGTCCCCTCAGCCCCCCAGCCGCCCAGGGCCGGCCGAGGCTCAGGTAACCAGTGCCGGCCGAGGCTCAGGTAACCAGGGCTGGCCTAGGCTTGCACTGTCGACAGTGGCAGCAGCAGGGGTGTGATGGGGCATCGCTTATCCCTGATTGCAGGGTCACCTCCCTCCCCTGAGGGCTCCCAGACTGTGAGAGGGGGCAGGCCGGGCTGAGGGACCCCCACTCCAGTGCATGAATTTTCATGCACCAGGCCTCTAGTAATCAATAAAATAATAGAACTTGGTACTTTATGTTTACATAATGATTTACATTGAGGATTATGTATTATCCATTCCCTCAAGAAAAACACATGTATACAGTAAAACTGTTGAAATGAAAGACATCTCTGCAGTGTTTGTCAAAACCAAACTAAATGTATGTGTGCGTGTATGTGTGAGTGTGTATGCATGTGGGTGTGTGTGCATGTGTGAGTGTGTGTGCAGGCATGTGCATATGTATGCATGTGTGCACATTATATGTGTGTATGTATAATCGTTTGTGAGTGCATGTGTGTGCTGACACCTCTGGTTCCAGGCCATCCATTTTCACTGCTGTACAGCAGTCCCCTAGTGAACATGGGCGAGTTGTTTATCTGTTCTCCTGGACATTTAGGTTATTTCCAGTTGTTGTTGTTACCAAAAAACAGCCGTGGCGATAAACACCCACATCCTCTGGAGCAGCCGTTTCCAAAGGATCACCCACCGGCTGTCTTATCAGAGGCCTCGGGCCAACCACTCAGAACGATACTGGGTACTTGCATACTGTACTGCCTGACGTTGGTGCTGAGGGCACAAGGACGCATCTGTGGAAACCGCTGGAGCCTCAGCCCCAGGGAAGGCAAAGGCCCCAGACTCCGCTAGCTGTCGTGAATTCTCCATCCCCATGCACGGCAGGAGAGAGACAGACAGATGGAAAAGAATTCCAGTGTCGTTGAGGAATAAAGCCATTGGTGCATTCACTTAATTATTGAAATCACTAGAGAAACAATCGAACTGGGAAAATTATAACTTCTTGCATTGCAGCTCTGGAGTGGACGTCTTATAAGCACCCGTGGCAGGTGAGGAGTGTGCACGAAGCAGGACTCTTCCTGTGAGCATGGGCTGCGTCGGGGGCAGCCCAGGGTGATGGTTAGTGTGGCTGACAAGGCCCCTGTGTCTGTGGAACAGCAGCTTACTTGACAGAATGAGGGGCTGTGGCTGTTCAGGTGGGTGTCTCGTAGGCAGGGACCAGACTGAGCCCATCGCTAAAGAAAAACAATGGGCAGTATCATGTTGCTAACAATAAAATGTAAGCTTTCAAGGAAAAAATGGGATTTTGGAAAACATGTGTCTGCTATTATGAACTTGACAGCTTGCCCCATACTTAACAGTTTGTCTGATATATCCATGGAGACATTAATAAATGTGATTTTTAATTGATTTGAGGCACAGAGAGAAAGGAGAGAGAGAGAAACATCGCTTTGTTGTTCCACTTATTTATGCACTCACTGGTTGCATCTTGTATGTGCCCTGACCAGGGATCGAACCCACAACCTTGGCATATCGGGATGACACTCTAACCAACTGAGCTACCTGGCCAGGGCAGCGAGTGATTTTGTTAACCTTGCGGAATGTATTATGTCCACCTTTGGAAGATCTGCCTGATTCAGTAGCCAAGAGTTTCCTAGTGATGGACACATCATGTTCCAAAACCCTGCCAGGGCAGTCATCCAGAGTTAAGAGGCCACTGGTGTCACTGTCACAGTCAGTGCATTCAGATGCATTCATGTCGCATTGCAGCGAGGGGAAAGGAACCGCTGTCGCTGGCCCGTGCGGCTCAGTGGACTGGGCATCATCCTGTGCACCTGCAGGTCACGGTTTGATTCCCGGTCAGGGCATGTTCCTGGGGTTGGGTTGCAGGCTCAATCCCCAGGCAGGGGCAAGCAGGAGGCAGCCAATTGATGTTCAACCATGTTTCTCCCCCCCTCCCCCCCCCCCCCGCCCACCCTTCTTCTCTCTCTAAAGATCAATTGTAAAAAAACTAAAAAAAAAAAAAAAAAAAAAACTACAAAACTTGTCAAGTTCAAGGCTATTAAACATTCTTCCCTTTGCAGGTACATATCTGAGTGAGCCAGAGTTTCCTCACGTGCTCTCACCAGCCACATTTCCCGAGGCCAAATGCAGAGTCAAGAGAGCCCGTCATCTGCTCCTAAGCCAGACATTCAAGAAATTTGCAAAATAGGAAACAGGGCCACTACTCAAAGTAGATGGAATTTTTTAAAATAGGGTTATTTTTCATAAAATATGTGCTTTATATTGACATGTAATCAGTTTAATTTTTTTTTATTTTTTTTTTTATAAACTGAGACGTGTGTTTACAATTCCCTGGTGAGGACTGCCACTCAAGCAGAAGCCCTCGGTTTTGTTCTCAGGAGCCTCCCGAGTGCAATGCAGACCTGACCGGGAGCCACAGCTGTGGCCCTCGCTCCCTGCCGGAGCGACAGGGCCAGGGCGTGGGGCTTCCGGGGAAAATGGTTGTAGACGCGGCAGCTCTCTGCTGAGTGGGTCCCAGTTCCCAACATGGAGATCAGAGGGGGCAGTGGAAAGCAACGGTGGCCAAGCGCAGTTTCGGCAAGAGCACTCACAACTCGCATGGCAAAAGGCGGCCAAGAGGATTCTCCCAACGCCACGCAACTTATGCCAAACAAGGCAGCCCTTTCAAGTCCAGTTCCACTGGTGAGTGCCAGAGAGGGGCTTTTCCCGTTTCGTTTACAGTTACCTCCCAGTGCTTCCAGAGCAAGTATCCAATAAGTAGTTGTGGCACAGATACGGAATAAATGTCGCCAGCTGTGCCCCTGTGGCTAGGAAAACAGAGATGGAGACCTACAGGCACGGGCACCACCAAGCCAGCACTGGGCCCCGCCCTTCTGTGCGTTTCCTCGTTCACTCCCACAGCCTCAGGTCGGGCAAATTCTGATAACATCTCCCTTTTCAAGGTGAAGAAGATGAGGCTGAACAAGGCTACATTCAAACCCTCCCTGATGCCCGGGCCACACCCCATATCAGCTCTTACTGGGGATGGCACTGGGAGTTTTACAGCTCCCTGGAAATGTCCAATCTAGGCCAAGGTGAGGACCAAGGTCAAGTAATTAACCCAGTTCTGCAGCCAGTCGTGGATGAGCCAGGTAAGGACGGGGAGCAACCCCGTCCAGCCCCACAATCTTTGCCCCCGATGACTGCGTGGCTGCCTGCCCTCCATTGGTGTCTTAAGGGAGAATTCGACAGCAGTAGCCTGGTCACTCTTCTTCCCTCTACAGAAAGCAGAGTAAGCAAATCACCGCCCAGCAGGCCTGCGCAGCGCTAACCCACCCGCTAGGTACAAATGGAACAGCCTGCTTGCCCGATGTTCATCACACCATTTGTATTGCACTATTTGTATTTATTTTCATTTGAGCAGTAGTAATGGGGGGGGGGGTGGCGGTTGACCTCCACTCCCCACGGTTTGCTCAAATTGTCACACTCAAACAAGAGACAATAGGCCCAGAATGGAGTCATCTGTGCTAAGTCTTACATCACCAAACGAAGGCTCAATACCGTAATGCCTGCAACACTTACTTACAGCCTCTCCTAGGAGCGGACCCTCACATGCTGGTCCGAACCCTGAGGCCAGCTGCCTGCCGCCCCCGGCCCCTAGAGGAAGGACCCTTGCCTCAGTCAGCCCTTTGCCAGCATAACTCCCCTGCCGCTCCTCTGCCTGTAACAGTCCTCCCTCCTGCTCAGCTCCCCGGAGCTCCTGGGAGACCGGTGCTGCCGGTCCAGGAATTGCTCCATAAAACCACTAAGACCTTTAAAATGTGCCCATTTGACTTTTGTTCCTTAACAACCTACACAGTTGAGATGGTCGCCATCTCGAGTAAAGCGGGGACAGAAGCATCGTTGGAAAGCTTTTGTGTTGATATAAATGTAAATAAAGTGGTGTGTGCAGTACAACCCAGTTTTGAATGGAGCCCCCTTAGCCTGGCCCACCATCCTTCAAACAGATCATGACCTGAGCCCGGCTAGATCTCTACAGCCCGCTCCTGCCCGCCTCGCCAGCTCACACCCAGGCTGGTCCCTGGCCCAGCACAGAGATCCTAGCAGGCGCCTGCGGGTCCCAGCCACTCACCTGCAGCAGCAGCAGCGACAGCAGCAGCTGGAGGAGGAGCAGGGAGGTAGGGGCCCTGGAGCTCATGGCAGCAGGGGATGCCGGGACGCCTGAGCCTGAGCCTGCTGGTGGTAGCAAGTCCTCCTGGGCTGTGGTCTCACCCAGCCAGGTACGGTCCTCCCAACAGGGCCTTCTCTCCAGTCACTGGGTCACTTGGTCCCGGACACTCCCTCATCTCAGGCATCTCAGCCCTCCCCTCCTGGTCCCTGGCCACTCTTGTTGAATCAGGGTGAGGCTGGCTGAGCCTTGACCTCACAAGCAGCTAGCAGATTTCCTAGGAAGGGTGTGGAGGAGAAAGAAATTGCCATGGCCACATGCCACATGCCAACGCTGCTCCGGACTCGGTCAGAGAAACTGAAACCTGGGAACCTGGGGCATTTGCTTCTTTGTTAGTGTTAAGTTTCCTAGTCAATGCCCCACAATTGACCTCTTTCTTGTAGCGGGATATTTTAAAGACTAATTCCTATAGCCCCTCTCCTTTGTAACAAAAGAACTAGAAAAAACTTCAAGAAAGAATAACTTTATTTAGAGAAGAAAAAGGAGAAAGGACAAGAGAAGGAAAGAAAGAAAGTGAGAGAGAGAGAGAGAGAGAGAGAGAGAGAGAGAGAGAGAGAGAGAGAAAGAGAAAGAGAAAGAGAAAGAGAAAGAAAGAAATATTTTTCTTTCCTGAAGCACTAACCAGCTTCATCCTAACCATGTCTCAGGGCTCTGAGGTTTACATGCATTTTCTACCAAAATCTTTTTTAAGCTTAGAGGGATCTGCCCTTCAGAGTTTGGTATTAAAGACTGAGGGAGGAGAGATGAGAGAGAGACTCCCTGTGGGAGGGTGAGCCCTTGCGTCTTGCATGGGATTCTGGAAAACAGGAGAGTCGGGAATTTTACTGCATCGCTACTTAAGATTGCAGTGGCCAAACTTGAAAGAAAATCTGAGGTCCATTCACCCTGATTCTCGGAGCATATCACCCTGTTATCACCTGGCCTCATTTAAAATAGCAAACAGTTCTTGAGCAGGTGAAACAGGAGGTAAATTCTCCTACTGTACATCCTTACCTCTGTGAGGTGCTGCCAAACACTGCAATTTGAATAGTTTATTATCTTAGTCCAAATTAATAACTTATTATTGAAAAGAGTAACCAATGCCATTTTAAGGTCTGTGAATATTTCCTATGCATAAAGAGAAACAGACAAATAATTACTGAATTTATGACTTTCTGCTTATTTTAAAAGTGTATATTTTTATTCCATGGTAGTTTATTAGAAAACTTGATTGAGAATCACAGATGCAGAATGTATAGATCAGGTAAGCTAAGCCATGTTGAATGTTTATGGGGGAATACGATGATGAGGATGGTAATACTGAGCAAGAGAGACTGTGTGTTAACTCCAGAGATGGGGGCACTGGGGAATGCTAGTGAAGGATTCCACTTGTACATTTGCTATAAGTGGAAAGAAAATGGTATATTAAATACAACCAAGCCCAGCCAGTGTTGCTCAGTGGTTGAGTGTCAATCCATGAACCAGGAGGTCACGGTTCGATTCACAGTCAGGGCACATACCCGGGTTTCAGGTTCAATCCCCAGTGTGGGGCATGCAGGAGGCAGCCAATCAATGATTCTCTCATATCATGTTACTTTCTCTCTCTCCCTCTCCCTTCCTCTTTGAACAAATAAAAAATTTTAAAATAATAATTTTTAAAAACCACCAAATCGCCCTGACCTGTTTTTCTCAGTGCTTAGAGCGTCGGCCCACAGACTGAAGGGTCCTGGGTTTGACTCTGGTCAAGGGCAATTACCTTGGTTGCAGGCTCGATCCCCAGCCCAGGTCGGGCGTGTGTGGGAGGCAGCCAATCAATGTGTCTCTCTCACATTGATGTTTCTCTCTGTGTGTCTCTCCCTCTCTCTTCCACTCTCTCTAAAGATCAATGGGAAAAGATCCTCAGGTAAGGATTAACAACAAAAATAACGAACAAAAAAACCCCACCAAATTTTCAACATCCTTAAAAATAACTGAGCAAGAAGCAGTTTCCCACAAGCATCCCTCTCATTTGGACTGTGACCCCTGCAGGCGACTCTGGCTTCCCCTGCACCACTTCTCAGGTGAGAGTGAACTGGAGGCGGCCAGGGGTCCCTTTCTGCCTGGAACCTGTGATTCCGCAGAGGCTGCCTCTGGTCGGTCGGCAGAGGTGCAGTAATGCGCTGCGGCCACCAGGTGGCGGCGCCCGGCTCAGGGTGAGCGGATGGTGGAGAAGCGCTGCTGGGAGACGCGTCCAGACTCGCATTCTCAGCTTGGCTGGCGACGGGTGCCCGGCCGACCGCGAGGTCTCTGTGTTTTTTACGATGGTAAACGAGTCGGACTGAGGAAGGGTGAGTTTTGTCCTGAATATCCATGTTGACCAAGGTCCTCCCAAACCGCAGGGACTCGCTGACTTTATTTTTCACGGCTGTTGGTCAACACAACGGGAACAGGTTCATTTGCCATCTTTTCAGGGGTTAACATTTCCTGGAAGGCAGGGGCCTTAGAATGAAGAAGCATTCAAGTCACGACAGCCTAAAAAGAAACACACCAGACTCCTCGGGACTCCCCCAAATATGGCAGCACGGATCCTGTGCCCTAACCTGCATGGAGCCCGATCCCAGCCTCCCTTCTCCCACCGCCACCTGGGGCAGGGCCCGGAGGGCAGGGGGCGCCACCTCCTGGGCAGCAAGGGCTGGTTTCCGCCCTGCCCCGCCCGCCTCCCCCTCCACCCCTCCCCCCCCCACCCCCCGCCACCCCCGTACTGGGGACACTTGGCAACTTCCTTTCCCTGGGGGAGTGCCCTGCCACAGGACAGGAACCTCGAGGAAAGCCCTGGTGAGAAAGGGCGCAGTGAGACCTGCCGCCTGGCTGCCTGGGCCCGCCCTGCCTGGCTGGGGGGTGGGCGGGCAGCGGGACCCCAGGCAGGATGACCTGGAAGAGCCTGTCGCGCCCTCCTGGCCTGGCGAGGAGACACCATTCTCATGGGTCTCAACTACACGTCAAAGAAGAAAATCGCGGCTTGTGCCTTCTTCTGCCTCGGAGGGCGCAGGGTGCTGCTGGGGGGTGGGGGGCGCTGCGGGGGTGCAGAGGGCACGGGTGCTGCGGGGTGGGGGCGGGACTGCCGGGGGTGGCGCTGCGGGGGCGAGAAGGCCAGGTTCAAATTTGGGCGCCTGTGTCCCACGTGGCCACAGTGGCAGCCTCAGTGGGAGCCCACAGAGTGGCCTGTTACAAGGGCTTGCGCTTTCCTCTCTTTTCTTTCTTCTTTCTTCCTTCCTTCCTCTCTTCCTTCCTTCCTTCTTCCTTCCTTCCTCCCTTCCTTCCTTCCTGCCTTCCTGCCTTCCTTCCTTCCTTCTTTCTTCTTTCCTCTCTTCCTTCCTTCCTTCTTCCTTCCTCCCTTCCGGCCTTCCTGCCTTCCTTCCTTCCTCCCTTCCTTCCTGCCTCCTCTTCCCTTCCCTCCCTTCTCCTTCCTTCCTTCCTTCTTCCTTCCTTCCTCCCCACCCTGGAAGAAGGGAGCCAGGGAGGGAGCAGGGGTGTCCTGGTGGCACAGCAGGGGTGTCTGGGCCCTCTCACCCTCACCTAGGACCAGGGACAGCAGCCCCGGGAGGAACTGGGAAGTGATTTAAATGGGGCTGGCACTGGTAGTTTAACTGGGATGGTTTCCCTGGCACAAGGAAAGGCCTGGAAACCGCTGATGGGACAGCGGGTGGGAGTGCCTGGCGGAAACCCAAGTTAGGAAAATTACGTGGCTCAGGTCACACCTCCCCTGGGTGGAGACCTCACATGTATGTCTACTCAAAACCCATCTCCCAAATAACCTGAAGACAGGTCCCCGGTCTTCATAGTCACAAGGGTGAGGGGTCATTCTGAGAAATGAGCAAAGGAAGAGAACCCCAGGGAGGCAGTGCTGGCCGGAGGAGGGAGGTGGTGGCCACTAGTGGCCCTGCCACACCAGGGGAGGCCCTGCGGGACCAGAGGCCGGTGGGTGGACAGACGGACAGACAGGCCGAGACAGCCAGCACATGGATATTCACGATGCAATTCTTTCAACTTCTCTGCATGTCTGAAACGTTTTATAACAGATATTGGGAAAATGAGAAAAGTGGACCTGACTCCAGCGGTGAGGCTGCAAGTCACTGCTGGCCGTGGCGCCCGGTGTCTGACATGTGTCAGAGCCGAAGGCTATTGGCTCACGTGACAATACAACGACTCCTCTCACCTCCAGGCTTACTCTCAGTGACTGAGCCTCTGTCTCATTCTGACGCTCAGTGATCACGTTGTTTGATCAGAAAGTGGGGTTCCTTATGGTTTAGCATTTTGAGTCAGCCACCAAGAGTTGGCCAGAAATTGTCCTGTAAGAGATTTTAATTTTTTTTAAGATTTTTAATTGATTTTTAGAGCAAGAAGGGAGAGGGAGAGAGAGAAACATCGAAGCTCGGTGTGAAAGCAGAACATTAACATCGATCGGCTGCCTTCTGGACGCTCCCCACCAGGGATCGAGCCGCAACCCAGGCAAACGCTGACCGAGAATGGAACTGGCAGCCCTGCAGTGCAAGGGCGACACCCAACCAAGTGAGCCACACCAGCCGGGACAAGACTGTAACCTCTTTCCCCTATGAACTCAACTAATTATTGTAAGTGAGCAATTAGGAGGGAATGCTGCCAAATATAACAGATCGGAGTGCTTTTCACTTTTTGTAGGTGTGGTATCAGGCTAATAATATTGATAATAGAATCACCAACCTCATTCTTCAGTCTTTCATGTTTCTGAATGGTTTTGTGCTCAAGGGAAGGAGAGGGAAGGGAAGGAGAAAAGAGAGAGAGGTGAGGCTGTTTCAGTGTGTGAGACCCGAGGCCAGAGTGGAGAACAGGTGGAGGCGGCGCCGCAAGGCTGGCTGCAGGCAGAGCCCGTGTGGTGGAGCTGGCAGCCTGGTTCAGCCCAAATGGCTGGGGCATGAGAACAGACTTCATTTTCCTTGAATGAGCCTAGGGCCGTGGTCGGCACTGCGGCTCTCAAGCCACATGCGGCTCTTTGGCCCCTTGAGTGTGGCTCTTCCACAAAATACCACATGCGGGCGCACGTACAGTGTGATTGAAACTTTGTGGCCCATGCGCAGAAGTTGGT